AAATTGGCACAGGCTTAGATACTTATTTTTGTACTGATCAATTTTATTAGTTTATTCCTCTCTCCCAACTCATATAACTCTCTTACCAATAGTAAAGAAACTCTTTATTTAAAATAACTGTAGCAGTATACTGTCAAAGAGAAAGCACTTTTAAAATGAATAGAAATTTTAGAAAACAATATTCTTTAACTGAAAAATAAAGAATAGATTATTAAAAAATATGAAAATAAAAAATTACCTGCTTTGCCTAAACAAGTAAAGAAAATTAGATTATGGAAGCTCAGACAATTGGTAAACAAAGTTAAAGAGAAGACTAAGAAAAAGTTTTAAACTTTTATTGTTTAGAAAAGTAAGTAATCAATATGAAACTAGAATATAGAGTTTTGGAGTTAGCAAAGAGAAAAAAAAGTGATTGTTATTATTGTTTTGTGAATTATAATGATCCAACTAATCTTGACTTTAGCACTGCTCCTGTTATCTGTCAGATGGTAGTATACACAGAGACAAAGCAATACTTTGATATAGAAATGTTAATTGATTCGTTCGGTCCAATCTGATCTGAGGATTGCCAATCCTAATCAAAACTGGACTGGATTGCGATCCAAGGACTTAATCGATAGGACTGATCCAGGCTCTAAAAATGGGATCAATCTCAAACATAATTTATGAGTCGAATGATCTTAAATCATCTGTCAGAATGATCTGAATACTGTGATGATCCAATAATACAAACATATATTGAGACAAGAAAGTGGAAGATTTATATGTAAAATCTCCATCCTGATATTTTTAATTAGTTCTTCAAGTTAAATCTAGATATTTGTTTTTTGTGATTTTCACATTTTTTGCATATGTTTCGCCAGGCTGATTAAAAAATCTACACTTCTACAATGAGAAATAAAAGTATACCCAAATACAGTGGCTCAAATAAGAAACGAAAGGAAACACTAAATATATTGCTGGAGAAAATATCCAAAAGTAAATTATTTTGACATGCCAATACTATTTTACGTGGACAAATAATCCATTTTATGAAAACATATGTTGTATCTTTTCTTAATGGCAGTGATACATTTTCTGGAGTAGATTAGTCGATATATGTTTCTTGTATATTCAGTAGATGAAGGTAGGTTGAACTTGCTTGCTCTGATACAGCAAAATAGTTATCTAGTCAAAGCTTTTAATAGTGTATTTTTATTGTAATAGGAGATAGAAGACTTAAACTGCTATTGATAAAAGAGATCTGGCGGTTACAATGAAAGACTGAAATATTTGGCTTCAAAAAAGATCTTTGTCAATAAATCACTATCGAATTAGTCTAGCATGACAATTAATTGATTATTGAATTTTCAAATACTTAAATATTTACAGAAGGTAATATTAAAAATAATCACATTATAGTTCTATAAGATTTCCTGGTGGTGGTATGCATAATAAGGCAGAATAAAAAAATCAGTATCTTTTAAGATTATCAATACTATAAGTATTGATAAGGGAGCATCCATAATAACATTATATAAATTCATAAAGTTTTGCTATCTCATCCCATCTTATTATATGACCCTCTTTAACATAACATTATTTGTGGATGTCCCCTAAATCATAATACTTAACTTTTTTGTCATCCATATTTTCTTCATGGCGAGAGGTTCTTATGTGCTATAAAATATAATTATTATTACCTCATAAGAATCTCCTTATAACACTTAACATAAAATAAAGATTTAGTATTAATAATTATTAAAATTATTCTGATATTAAGATTCTATATAGTCTATAATATTACTGTACCAGACTGAGTGTGAGTAGACGCCATAGTTAAACATAAGTGCTCGTCCTTGTGTCGATATTGAGAGATCTGTGATAATGCTCTTAAATAAAGCAAGGAGTCCAGAGTCAGATCACAAATCCTGGTTGAGTGTTAATAAAGTCTAATAGATGATAAAGTATTGATATAGTTTGAATCGGCAGCACTATCTATCAACCAATATGTAGTGATGAAAAATGATCTTTGTAAAAATAAACATTAGCTTTATTATTATAATAATTTTACTCATTATATCTTTACTCCATTATGCTCACTATTACTATTACTACTATTATAATAATTAGATTCATAAGTATTATAATAATCATAAATATTCTTATCACCAACACCATCAAAAAAGCTGCAACTATTACAATAATTAGATTCGTGACTATATAAATCCTCATCATCACCACAAAAAACATTATAATCACTATAGTAATTAGATTCCCAGTGATCACAATACTTATATACATTTTTACCATTATCAGAACCAGCAATATTATAACTCCAACCATCACTGCTATTTTCATACTCATGTATTAAAAAATGATTCGTTTGTAATCCAACTCTTAAGACAAAGTGAAGCACAAGCTATTTCGTCTTCAATTCTGTTTCAGACTGTACTAATTGTGTGTTTTGCTATACTGAAAGTTGATTCAGAGAGAATGCTAGACGCTGGAATTGCAAGATAATCCCAGGCCAGACGTGAAAGTGTTGAATAATTATCAGAATGAAGTTTTCACCATTCAAGAGGATTAATATGGTCCACTTCAAGTGGAAGTTGAAAATACTGTTCAATTTCATGAGTATTATATTGATTATTTGATGATGTACTTTGAATAAGAGCTCGAAATATGCTATGAGTTGAGGTTAGTCTGGGTAGTGCTGTTTGTATATTATTTGAATTGTATTCATCATACATTTTCTGTAGAGTGAATCTTGCATGTGGCTGATCATCTTGAGAGAATGCTGAAAATTTGGTACGCGGATCGAGAAGGGTTGCGATTATGGATGATTGATGAATTAAAGATCAGTAGACTTCAAGTTTTGCTTTTATTGCGCTCGCTACTTCAACTTGACTATTGACATTTTCGACGCTATTTATATCAAGATGTGCAAGCAAACTCATCATTACAATGCGCATATCACCAATTGTCGGATAAAATGAGCCAGATAATAGCTCAGTTACATCATTTATTGGTCAAAAAATTTTGATTGTATCCTAGAATATATAAATATTTAATTTTGATATTTAACGTGACGATAAGTTAATGTAAACCTTTCATTTTTAATTAGTATTACCAAAGTAATGCAATTAATCAACACTATCCCCAAATTAACTATTGCAATATAAAATGAAATTCGAAAGTAAAGTGATAGATATTACTTACTTTTAATATATCATGCTCAGCATATGTCAAATAATTATCTTGAAGATTTGGATGCCTTGCAACAAGAACATCTATCATTGTCTTGATTTCCTCAAATTGTTAAAGCATAAGGTATGTTGAATTCCAATGAATAGACACATCTATTTCTGGCATTTTGAAGTTCTCTTCTAATGATCTTGTAATTTTTTTCATGTCATCCAAAAGTAATGACGAATTGCGCAGTTTGCTAGAAAAAGCACACGCTTTTTTGACTTCTGATGCTATCTTTTGTAACTCTGCATGTACACCTAGATTCGGAATATGTGCGACACAATGTAAGTGAATATCATTCAGATTTTCAAATTGTTGTTCACCTTATTATGCAACAAGGAATTCATTTTAATCATATTTGTTCCATTGTTAGTGGTAATACTCAAAAGTCGATCACCAATTACAAAGTCACTGAGTATACTGCAAATTGTATCAGTTATATTTTTAGCTGTATGTGCATCTTACAATGGAACAATATCAAGAAGTAAAGTTTGCATTTGCCAATTTATATTGATCCAATGTATCGTAATACTGAGGAATGATTCCATATTGCATGCTGATCAGATATCAGCTGTTAACGAGAATTTACCAGGTTGCTGAACGAGATATGCTTGTAACTGAACACATCAGCTATCAAACCTATCACTTACTCATTTTGCAATTGTTTGTCGACAAGAAAGTGTATATCTTTCATTAAGTGCACTAATAAAAGTTTTAAACCACTTGCTATCTGTAAGCATGAATGGCATTTGATCTGTGACAATCCAATGTGTAAACTTCTTGTTGATATCATCGATTTTTGCTTGATCTTTGTGTCCATATGGATGAAAGTGTTGGATATCTAGAGGGTGCTGATTCATTACAAGATAAGTACTATGATGTTTTGCATCAAAATGTCGAGTTATTGTTAATGTTACAATCTTTTTTCCAAAGTGAACACAACATATTTTACAAAGTGTTGAGCTATCGGATTGTTCAATAATATAATCATGTACAGCAGCCACCTTCCTACATTTTGCCAGAGTATTATTAATGCTTGGAGTATGGCTTGGTGCACTGCTTGATCCGCTACTTATTAACGTGAAACTCTCTTCCTGGTTTTCGTTAAGTAACATTTCATTATAACCTACATCATCAGTAAGAAACAAAACTGGCTCA